TCCTTGGAGAACTGGTCTGGTCAATGCTTTACAGCTCCAGGACACCAAAAAACATTTCCCTTTGTGAGATCTTGTCAACTTTGAGAAAAATATTCTTCTCTAGAGTCTTCCAATTGAGCAGTAGTAAATAGCATTTTCTTGGACTCCTTCTCTGCCCACTGATACAAACTTCAATTGTGTGAGACTCAGATATAACCTGACATGGCTTCTGGGTTTTTTTCTGGAAACTTATCATTTACAAACCTAGAGCATGTGATTTTACTATTCCTAGGCAAAATTAGCATGCTTGAGCTGCATTTGCCAAGCTTTTCATTTCTGGTAGGCTAAAGCTACACACACTGCTCAATTGGTATAGTGGGTGTTTAAATATTGAAGGTATACACACAGTAATTCTGAAACAGTATTAGAATTAGCCATCACTAATGCACTGACACACTATTACAGCCATGTAGCAGTATAACACTATTGGGCTGCATCTGCATGACATGCTGAATTATAAGCTAATCAATCCTATTTTGGCTAATAGGTCCTGTAAATAATAGAAGCACTGTCTATAATTTCTAATTTAGTATGTCTTAGGTACTTAGGATAATTACTGTAAATGTGTAAAATGTGGCCCAGTTAAAGATGTGAACACAGTCACAGATTTGTTCCCTAACTCTCTATTTTTTCCACCAATTCTTGAGAGATAACATAAATGTAGGTTCGCGTTCAGTACCCAATGATATTCACAAAATATGGGGGAATCAATCAGTGGCTGGACTCCACATTATGCTAAGGATAAGTTGCTTGATTTTGGTTACTACACACACACAGAAACACAAACAAGGGAGCACAGTGCCCATTCTATTCACAGCAAGAAGAACGATTCCATACAATAAAAACAGACACATATTAAACTATGATTTGTCAAAACTAAACATGCTCACCTTACTCCTGGCAAAGAACTAGTAGCAAATAACCTAATCTGCAAAAAACAAAACTCTCTTCTTCAATAGCCAGAATACTGGCGGATGATTGGTTTGTTTTGTCTAGGCAGGGCAGAACCGTGATGGTTAAGTAACAAGTGCTTTTTATAGAAGAACATTCCAATGAAATAAAACATCAATAACTTGAAGCCAAAAGCCACTTTAATTGACAGTTTTGGAAGATTACATACTTTTGATGTCTACTAAAGAAATCCAAGATTTCAATTGCTATTGCAACTTCAAACACCACATTCTTTTCAGCCAACAGTAATACTACTGAATTCATGTATTTCACTTATAGACAATATGTATAATATTTTGCTTTGTACATGGTGGAATAAGTCATGATTTAAACTACTGGAGTCACATAGTACCTTTAAGCCAAAACATACCACATGAAATTGTGACAATGTACTGTGCAAATTAGAGGAACACAAAAAATAAAAATAAAAGGAAGAAATATATAACTTGCAATCTTCATTAGGCACAGCCATTCATTTTAATTTTACCCCATCTTTTTTTCAGGTTCTTACATAAAAATGAGGGATTACACAAAAAACTTTATCCAATTTTATGCAGTTAATATTTTTTCTGAGAAAAACACATTTAAAATATCCTTATCCCACATTAAAATTATCTGATTAACAAAATTTGTAAGTTTTCCATTCTTCTTACATGTTTATATAGTTTTTATCCTGTCTAATAAATTGTTATTTATGTGTTTACTGTTCTTGCTTTTATGGTTTTGTTGATTGCTTGATTTGTCAAGCAATGTGAAATTGCAACTGTTTCCCCACAATCTTAATAGTTTCATTATAGATTAAAGATAATTATATAAATGATTCAAAGAAAATGGGAAGGTAATATCAAAACAGGGGCGATACACTGCCATATTATCTATAATCATACTGTGATGGAATTGTACTCAATTGTCATAAATCAGCCTCTGATGAAAACGATCGGGGAGAATTGCCTTCTGCACTAGCTTGGGTGGTATACTAAAATTGTAAACTGGAGAGCATAAACTGAAAATACTATATTGGATTGTAAGTTATTGAACAGTAAAAGATTTATCGTTACAATTGATATCACTTTAAAAGATTTTCAATATAACAAATACTAAATTTAAGAGCCAGTTTGGTGCAGTGGTTAAGACATCAGCTAGAAACCAGGAGAATTTATTATTGTTGTTGTTGTTGTTGTTGTTGTTATTATTATTATATATACATATACATACATACAAGGCTGTATGTATGTATGTATGTATGTATGTATGTATGTATGTATGTATGTATGTATGTATGTATGTATGTTCGTTCCAGGATAACTCTAGAGCACCTTGAACAATTTCAACCAAATTTGATACACAGATGACTTAGCCTCTGGAAACAAATACAGGGGGGGAGACACCCCTGGGTTGTCTGTGTGTCTGTCTGTATGTTCCAGCATAACTCTAGAATGCCTGGCCCATTAAAGAGAGTGAGTGTGGCATCCTAGAGCAGCAACTGTTTGTGATATCAGTTGCTTCGCAGCTTCCTCTGGAAAGCCAGCCATGACATTCACCTTCCAGTGGACCAATGGGGAAGTGCCTGATGGATTTGGGGCAATTACCAGGATCGTAGAGAGGGCGGGAAAGAGGAGCACATGGGAAGGGGAAGGGAGGGGGCAGGGACGATGGGCAAGGGAGTAGAGGGAAGAAAGGCCCCTCTCAATGGCTCCCTGTCAGACAAACGCTTTGACATCGATAAATACCCGGGCAACACCTGGTTACCAGCTAGTATAGTATATATTAGAGTATTCAATAAAAAGAGTGTAAGATAAAATTAATATTGTATTACAAACTACTTTGAAATCCATTTGTTAGATTTGCTTAAGAGTAGCCAAAATTTTATACACAGAATTTCAAAATATTAGGCCATGGTTTCCACAAACCTGATCCAATTTAAAGCAAGCAAAGAACAGAGCCTCTCACAGAATTTATAAAGATTCAAGGATTTTCATGCTAATATTTATGGTCCTTCAAACAACATCTCTTTTTGGCCTCTAAATAAGGTAACAATAAACTCACCCTTGAGTGGAGTATGATTCATGATGACTACATAGGCGCATGTAATGTTCTGAACTCAATATAGAAATAACCTGTCAATGCCTTCTCCTCTGCAGTGCTTTATTGACTCTCCAGTCTATCCCAAATATTCTGGAATTTCCTGGTGGTCTCCCATCCTAACTAAAGATCAAGTCCAGTCCAGCTTTCTAGCTTAGCTTTTTGAGATCAGACAGATCAGACAGCCAAGTGTCATGACCTGCAGTAAATTAAAAAAATAATAGTGGGAGGGAGGGAGGAACAATGAAAATGAACACAATAGGAAAAGATGTCTAGCATTTTAATGACTAAACTTTGCACCTGACTTGTTATGGCTTTAAAAGGACCCACTGCAGAAGCTCTACCAATAGTTTGGTCTGAACAGAACCAGACTGTGTATCAATGCAAACATTTCATTCCTTAAAATTATTCCTTAAAGATGGGTTGCTTTTGCAGGACATTTTGTTAATTGCAGTTGAGCCAAACTAATTCAAGTACACTGTCCTTGCTAATGAAGAGGTTTTACAAAACTAACACCATTATAGATGTTTTTAGGCAGTGCTCAAAGCTAAATGTTTGTTCCCACAGTTTCAGGAGAGCATGAGGACAGAGTTAGCCACAAAGCAATTGGGTGCAAAGACAGAAGAAATGTTTCGGAATGCTGATGAGTTTTAACTGCCACGGCTGCAAAACTAAAAGGCAAGTACTAATCTGGCCAAGAAATAAAAATTACTCTGACATGGATACAAATAGCTTGACTAATCCAATAAAAATACATAAGTAATCCAAAATTCAAGCAACAAAGAAAAGTTTCTAGGACGACTACAAGGGTGCCTGGAATTACTTTTAAAATAAAAGGCAAGAGAGTCTCAACATAAGCCAAGATTTACTGCTGCAAAAGTCACCCAAGTCTAAAACATGCACCCTAAACTTCTCTTGGGAGAGAACAAAGTGGGGGGGGGGGCGCTTTAAAACAACCCTTCAGACAAGAAAAGGTTTTATCGTTCAGCTTAAAAAATAAATTTAAAAAATCCATTAGTAATACTATATCACTGTTGCTTGCAAAGGGCTCCCCCTTACGCCCAACCAGGCACCTGATGAACTATCGCAAGACCAATCAACAGCGTGTAAACATCTTGAAGGCTTCTGGATCTTGAAAGGGGTGATTTAAAAACCACACCAAGTCTCTCGGCATCAAGGGCCAGTTTTCCCACCATGAGGCAAACGTTGCCCCTCCTCTACCACCCACTTAGAAGCCCACCAGTAGCAGTTTCCAAACGCCCCGTGCGCCGGCTGCGCATTCTGCCAAGAACATTAAAGATGGGGGGGGGAGGGGGGAGTTCAAGGAAAGCCACATGATGGATGAGCTCTCCCAGTGTTGACATCCCAGGTTGCAAACCATCTCCGGCCCCGCTCAACCCAACACCCGACGACGGGCCTTTGCCGAGCCCTCTTCAACTTCTGAAGTCGATACCCTCTGCCACACAGAATCCCAAGACCTTTTTTATCCCGAGGGAGACCCAAGTCCGCTTTAACCATCCGCAGGAACCGAGCACGGTGTCCTCAGCTGCCCCTCCAGCCCACTTGCCCTTTGGCCAAGTTGGCCGCTTCCAAGCCCTACAGGTGATGCCGCCCGGTAACAACGGGAGTAGGGAGCACCCAATCTGACGAGAGGGTCGACTCAACCCCCCTCCCCTTCCCCTAGCGGACTGGATACGGATTCGTCTCCGCATCGCCTTCCAGAGACAAGTCTGGCGCGACTACACCGGCGCCGGCCAACTTCGCAGCTCATTTCGCAAGGCGGCGAGAGTCTCCCCAAGGCTGGCACCTCCACGTTCCCCGCAGCGGGTCCCCTCGCCGCAGTCGAGGCGCAGCTGCCCTTCCTCTTCCTCGCCTGCTCCCCAATGACCCTCTCCCCCCACGACCCGCTCCGGAGCCCCGGCTCTTACCGACTGCAAGAAGCGCAGGGTGCCCACGTAGTCCCGCTCGGTGCCCAGGATCTCGTTGAGGACGCAGAGGCGAAGGCGCAGCTGGCGGTCCGTATCCTTAGCCGGTTCCGAGGGGGGAGCGCCGGGCCCGGGGGCCGCTGCCGTTGTCGCCGCCGCCACCGACGGACTTCCAGTCGCCGACTGCACTTCCATGGCTCCTTTGCCTGCCTCACCTTCCCGAAAAACCGTCCCGAGCGCGCTCTCCTCACTCCGCGGCCGGCTTTAGGCGCCCTCCATCCCCCCAAGGCGCACGCCAAACGCACCCCAAGCAAAGGACGAGTCGCTCTGCTCCCTCGCTCGCCTTAGCAGCCGCCAGCAGGAGCGCCGCGCTGGGACATGGCGAGGAGAAGAAGGCGGCGGCGGCGACGGGTAACGAGGAACGGAGCGCGAAGAGCGCTTGAATGGAGAGAAGCGAGCAGGCAGGGAGTGGAGCGCGCGAGGGGGGCGTGACCGGGGCGCAGCGGGGCGGAGAGGAGGGTCGGCTGCGGGCCCGGAGGCGGGGGCAGCGCTCAGAAGCGAAGGCGGCGGGACGAACCCAAAACAGAAGTGTGGGCGGCGAGGAGAGAGGCGAGAGGCCGGAACAAAGAAGAGCGGCGGCCGGGAAAGAGCTGCAGACGCGGGGAAGATGCGGGGATTTTTTTACGATCCGATGCAAACAAAAAAAGCTTTGGCGGGCCTTTGCCCTTCCGACCCAAGGAGGAAGTTGCCTTGCAAACGTGTTTGCGGTCTGTTTCTCGTGCAGCTATTTGTCTTGCCCACCTCCACCCTCCTCCCATTCACACACACACACACGAGCAATTTTTATTTATTTGCTTTATTTTATTAGTCAACACGTACAAGGTAACAGATATTAGTATAGACGTGGACATGATCGCATGAGATTGGTATAAATAGTTGGATATAAATAAGTATAACATGGCCGTGAACATAAAGTGAGTACATATCAATGGGGGCAGTAAGACAAGGACTGCAGGCACGCTGGTGGGCTTATGCACGCCCCCTTAGGGACCTCTTAGGAAACGTGTGAGGTCCACGGTGGACAGTCTAAGGTTAAAGATATGAGGGAGTTGAGTTTGAATCGAATGAGTTGAATTTGAATTGTTGGTCGGCAGGGATACAAAACGCGGCACAAAATTCTACACTTTTTGCCTGCTTTGCCGAATGAGAGGAAAGCCTTCCCTGGCGGGATGTTTGCAAGTGTGCGTGCTTGTTGCACGCGCCTGCTTTTCTGCGCGGTTGGGGCTGCCTTTGGCTGCACGGAAGTCTGGTTCGGCAAAGGCTTGCAACGGAGAAGTAGCGGCTGCTTACTTTGCAAGCCAGCCCGCCAGCCTTAAGATCTGGGAGTCCCACCATTTTTTTTTCCTCCCTGCAAGCAACGGGCAAAATCCATCTGGCGTGGAACCCACGAATTCGGGAGGTATTTTACGCCCGGGGAAATTGTGAGAAATTGAGGCACAAAAGTGTAATTCAGGGCTGATGCTGCTTTGAGATCCTTGACGCTCAGAGTTAGATCAAGCAAAGATTTTGGCGTCGTTTGTTTTAACAAAGCCAATCTACAAATTTAAGCTCCACTGAAATGAAGCTGAGAGAGTATACCACAAGTGGGCTTTTATAATAAAAACTCTGATCAGTAAGGGTGCCCTAAAACAGTTTCCTGGGCATAAAATCTTCTCATTAAGCATTAAGTGCCAAAAATGTCAAGGTAGTGGCCACAACCATATAATTGAAGGTCCCCCTTTTTAAATGTACAGGCACTAATTTCATTTTTAATTTTTTTAAAAAAAAACCTCAGCGGATGTCCCTGCTTTAATGGTAATAATGCTACCCTGTTTTCCCGAAAATAAAACCTCCCNTGCAGATGAGAGCAAAACTCAGCATAACATAAAGTGGTGCTATAGGCTGATTCTCAGGCTTCTGGTTTAACAGGCAGCATCTGCTTTCCCTCTCTCCTGCTATCCTTTGCCTTTAAATGTTTGCGTGCAAGAGCCCCGTGCATTTGCAGTTCAAAGGAGAAGTCAGTGATTTCCCTGGTTTTCCTCTTCCACCAGCATACTTAGAATGGTAATGAAATACACAACCGCATAAACACAAGCAAATGCATGAACATCTGGTCAATCAAAGATCTCATTTGCACTGTTTTGCAAAGAGACAGGCTCCTTTAAAGAGTGAAAAAATTATTTAGAGGAAAGTGATAAGCAGGGTGATAAATCAGTTAAAAAACGACTTTAATAACTGAAAGTCTGTCTAAATAGTAACTTAGCTAACCAAAGCAGTTCCTCCCAGGAAGGATGCCACTTTGAAGCAGAAATTCTGTACAACATATGCATCCTGTCTCTAGTCACATGACCTTCTGAAGCCAAGATGAACTGACAAAAAAAGTCAAAGCACCAATTAACATCCTAGTATCTGAAATCTTTCTCCTCATCTTTGTTGTTCGGATTCAGTTAGCAGGAAAGCCAGCAGGGAAATTATTATTTTTTTAAAAAAAAATCTTACTTCAGTTTTTGTAGTGAAGTCACTCCAGTTTTGTTACCAATTGCAGAAGGCCAGCACAGGCTATGCCTCTCAGTGCATCACAAGAGGGAGTTAATCTGAGATAAGTGGAGAATGCGGTTTACATTGCCTACTTCGTGTAAGGTTACATATTTCTTCCTAATGAGATGTGCTTTTTTCGGAGTTGCGATACAGTGTTTGTATTTCAATATCAGCAGTTTCATAAAACAATCCGCACCAAAGTCTTAGATGTCTTATTTAAAAACAGATGAAATCTAAATTACAGTAAGAGAAAAGTCAGGGTGGACTACGCATGGAAACTGGAGCTGAAATCATTATCTTAGCCTTCTAAAACCATTCCGTTTCTTCTAGATCTCCAGCAAGGAAATTAATTAGTTCTGTTGTCAAACTGCTCTTATTGTCAAGAGCTTAATTCCCATGCTCTTAATGTCCAATTTAGCAAAGGCTAATTCTGCCTTTTGGGGCAGCAAAGAACAAGCTTTGCTCACTTCTCTGCTTCATCTATTCAGGCACTGAAGAATACTATCATATCGTTTATCAGGGTTTCTTTTTTTGCTTTAAATGAAATAAGCTCTGTATCTTTCACTTTTGTTTCAAGAAAGGTTTGTTTTCCATGATGTTGGAAATCTTGGTGGTTTCCCTGCCAGTTCATTCCAATGTCTTTTTTGAAAATGAAACTTCAATCAGAGTAGAGGTGGAAGGGACCTTGGAGGTCTTCTAGTCCTTTGCTCAAGCAAGAGACCCTATGACATTCCAGACAAGTGACTGTCCGGTCTCTTCTTAAAAACCTCCAGGGATGAAGCACCCACAACTTCTGAAGGCAAGCCATTCCACTTGTTAATTGTCCTCACTGTTAGGAAGTTTCTCCTTAATTCCAGGTTGCTTTTCTCCTTGATTAGTTTCCATCCATTATTTCTTGTCTTGCCTTCTGCTGCTTTGGAAAATAAGTTGATCCTCCTCTTCTTTGTGGCAGACCCTCAAATAATAGAATACTGCTTGAATATGTCACCTCTGCTCCTTCTTTTCTTTAAGCTAGCCAAATCCAAACCCCGCAACTGTTCCTCATATGTTTTTTTCTCCAGGCCTTTGATAATCTTAGTTGCTCTTCTCTGCACTTTTTCCAAAGTCTTAACATCATTTTTGCAATGTGGTGACCAAACCTGGATGCAGTATTCCAGGTGGGTCTTATTAAGGATTTATAAAGCAGTACTAATACTTCTCATGATGTTGATTCAGATTCTATAATTCAGTGGATATACGTTTTCCCTCTATCTACTGAGTTAAATATCTCTGGGGAGGAGGGGGAACCACAAGATAGTTACAAATAAGATATGCTTATATCATGCCACAACTGCTATCTGCATAATTTTTGATGAATAAGGCTGAGCACTTTTCTGTTCAAGCTACAACTGGAAATATGTGCTGAGTCAAATAACTGACCCATTTATTGTATATTTTCTATTCTGACTTAAAGCAAGGAATCCAAGATAGCCAGGTTTTTGTTTTTTTTAAGTATCCGGTGATCGAGATAGATGCTTGGGTCTTCTGTATGCTATGTCTGTTTTCAGGCACTGTATTGCAGCTTAACAGCAAAAGGGGAAAAATATGAGAGGTCCTTGGTGCTCTCTGAGTTTGTTGTTTACTTAAAGATATTTCATTATCAAACTAGATAATGTCATCAGTGCTAGTGCTGAAGGGAGTGGGGTTTGTTCTCATTTTAGATACTAAGTGTGTGTGTGTTGCATTTGTGCTGATAAATAAAAAGGGGAAAAGGGAAGCAGTATGCTCCCTCCCATATTTGGGCATACCAGGGGTTGTGACACNTAGGGGTGCAAGGGTCTTGTAACTTGACAGCTTTAAGACTTGCACACTTCAATGCCAAAGTTTCTGAGCCAACATTTTGGTTGCTAAGCAAGAGTGTTGTTAAGTGAGTTTCACCACATTTTACAAGTTGGTCACGCCCCCTGAGTCACATAGTCAGCAAGCCACTCTCACCTGGTCACATGACCGACAAGCCACTGCCACAAAGCAAGCCACACCTACAGAAGAGGTTCTAAAAAAATTTGAAACCCACCACTGGGAGTGACATATTTCTAGGCTGGATCCCTGCCATATCTTCTGATGCAGATTTATGCCACTCCCTGGGACAAGTGGCTTTTGGTAGTATCTTCTCACCTGGTGTTATACTAGCACATGCAAGATTGCACCATACCGTCTTTAAAGATTGAGGCTTTGAAGCATTGCTTCTGCATTTGTGTGAACCTACCTTCCTTCCTTCCTTCCTTCATTCATTCATTCATTCATTCCTCCCTCCCTCCCTTCCCTCCTTCCTTCTTTCCTTCCTTTCTTCTTTTCTTCCTTTCCTTGATCTTCATTCTTGTCAATCAGAGAGTTAAAAGTCTGGTGAAGTACAGTTGTAAGCCAAGAGGTGATAAATAAGTGATCCTTGAAGAACAGGTCTGATTAGACTCTTGATGTAATGGTTCATTTCATTAGATGTTTGATTGCATTCAACACCCTACACTTGATGACATTGCAGCAGCACTTCAAATTATCTCCCTTTCATCTTTGCCACAGGTTAAAAAAAAAAAAGAACTACCCAACCCCTGCATAGACACAGAGATGTATTTCATGAGATGAAATGCCAGTATCAATAAGATTTTAGCAACACCTCACACACGTCATGCATCCTAGAAATATGGATGAAAAATGAATACATAGCATGGTATGGGATGTAGCGTTTTGCTGCAACCTAGGGATCCACTTTTCATTGAAATCAAATAATGTACTTCAAAGGACTGGGGTGATGCAATATGAAGAGAGATTTGAGAGTAATTAAAGGCGAAGATGTGTGTCTCGGAGTAAAGTACTAACT